TTTTATAAGATAATTTGCCAGTTCAACAGCTTTACAGAAAATTACACCCACCAACCTGTGAACTCTGTTCAACTGTTTTTCTTTCAAAATACATTAAATATTTGAAAAATATATATGTTATGATAAAGAATAGAGGCACTTTTTTTTTTTTTTTGAATAGTAATCAGTATAAAAAGAATTGCAAGCCATGGATTGGCTGTTCTGGCTCTCATAGGCAGCAACATGGTGAGCAGTGTCATTCTTAAAAGCAATGGGCAATGAGGTGTATCTATGGCTGGATTCCAGATGGTTCCCTGCTTGTTTATTGCTAATGGTGTCAGAATTCCCAGGTTTGTTTGCGTGACGTCTGTCTGGATGTTGTTTCCTTGTGAGAGAGTGCCTTTGGCCTTGATACAAAGACATTTTGAGTGTGTTAAGGCTGATGTTCAGGAGTAAATGGGAAGCTTCTATGAAAAGGGTTCATTGATGTAATAGCTACTCTTCTTGATGCTGAGAATCTAGATAACATGTATTAGGGAAAGGCTTTCGGGTTTTGTTGTGTCTTTGGAAAACATTTTTAAATGGAGCAGTTATATGTGGAGACCCCATTTTCTTCAAAAGAACTCACTGAGTGATTAAAAATTATCTTGAGGGGTGGTGCTGTGGTGTAGTGGGTAAAGCCACTGCCTGCAGTACCGGCATCCCATGTAGATGCTGGTTCAAATCCTGCTCTCTGCTATGGCGTGGGAAAGCAGTAGAAGGTGGCCCAAGTTGTTGTGCCCCTGCACCTTCATGGGAGATCCAGAAGAAGCTCCTAGCTCCTGGCTTTGGATCTGCCCAGCTCCAGCCTTTGTGGCCATTTGGGGAATGAACCAGCGGATGGAAGACTTCTTTCTCTTCTCTGCCTCTGCCTTTCTGTAACTCTGCCTTTCAAATAAATAAATAAATAAATCTTTAAAAAAAAGAATAAATAAATAAATCTTTTAAAAAATGATGTTGAGTAGCTTTTAAGCTAGACAGGCTTCACTTACTTTAATTAAAATTTTTAAAATATATTTTTTTTACGTGATAGTGGTCTGGTTCACCCAAAGCTTTTTAGGAGTTAATGTTGTGATATGGACACTAAAAACCTAAAGCAGGAGCAGAGTGATCGGACTGCATTAGAAGTCTTGATTTCTGGATTAGAATATTGAAGATTTCTACCACATATCTTCTTTGTGACAGTGGTTAAAGTAAATGTGTCTGCCTTTCATCTTTTCCTAAAACTGGCAGTTTAGGAAAGTGATGGTCAGGAATAGGTAGGCTTTACCTGAGGAGTGAGGCCTGTGTTATTACACCAAGAGGAAATTAGCACTAGCTGTACAGAGCAAGTCTTTGGGGGGGTCTGCCTTGTGGAGTGTCTTTTGTTCAAACTAGGATAATGAAGACAATTGTTCAAGATTTTATTTATGTTTTTCATTTGTTTAAATTTTAATTTCCTCCCACACCTCCTCCCTCCCTTTCTTTTTTCTTCTTCTGCCCTTCCTTTCTTTCTGAAAATCCACCTTATAGAAATGATTGGTAAATTCTATTCTTGTGACCTGAAAAAGAGAGTATTAGTAGCTAACTTAAATTTACGGAGCCTTGAGAAGGTTCTGGCTCCATAAATAGTAAATTCCTTAAAAGGAATTTCCATGTGTAGTAATCCGGTTATTTTTGGCTCATTGTTCTTATCTTTCCTGTTTTCCTTACATACATACTTTTTAGCAGGGTGTGAGGATGAGGCAGGGATGCAGAATTATTTTTTTTTCTAATAAGGGCCAGTGACTCCTAAAAGGTAGGGTGAGGGAAAATCCAGAGCCAGATTGAAAAATCAACATGAAAGAAATGATAGGAATTTTGCTTAAAAATAGAAAATGTTATTCTCATAAGCTCCTGTCCCCCTAATTTTTATTGTAAAATACTCATAAAATAAAGGTTACCATCTAGGCCAGCGCCGTGGCTCACTAGGCTAATCCTCCGCCTTGCGGCGCCGGCACACCGGGTTCTAGTCCTGGTCGGGGCACCGGATTCTGTCCCGGTTGCCCCTCTTCCAGGCCAGCTCTCTGCTGTGGCCAGGGAGTGCAGTGGAGGATGGCCCAAGTCCTTGGGCCCTGCAATGCATTGGAGACCAGGATAAGTACCTGGCTCCTGCCATTGGATCAGCGCGGTGCACCGGCCGCAGCGTGCTGGCCGCAGTGCACCAGCCGCGGCAGCCATTGGAGGGTGAACCAACGGCAAAGGAAGACCTTTCTCTCTGTCTCTCTCACTGTCCACTCTGCCTGTCAAAAAAAAAAAAAAAAGGTTACCATCTTAGTCAATTTTCAGTGTACAGTTCAGTGGTACTAAATGCATTCATCATGTACAGTCATCACCACCATCTCCAAAACTCTCTTTCATCTTGTAATCTGAAATTCTGTACCCATTAAAAAAAATTCCTCATTCTTTGTTTCCCCAGCCGCTGGCAACCACCATTTTACTTTGTTTCTCAAGCTTTTTAAATTAAAGAGACTATTCAAATATAGTCCTTAGTGACAAAATGCATTAGTATATCTGAATATGAAATAGAAAGACAAAAGACACAGCTTTGTGTTGGGAGATATTGATCCTTAATGGAGGAGTCACAAAGGGGGGGGGGGAGTGAAGGAAAGGAAACATTTTAAAAAGTTTTGCATGTGGTTGTGTAGATGTGGTTGTCTGCACATATGTGTCTCAAATATGCATGAACTGCCCGACAGTCACATTCAAACTTTCTCTCCCAGCCCTTAATGTCACTGTGCACTTTAAAATCTCAAATTCAGGAACTTATTAAACAAGTATTTGGCATTGCTTATGTCATCTGATCAGTATTGTTCACTATAACCACCATACCTGTGTTTGGAAAACTATAACCAGACTATTTGCCAAAGCCTTGAAAAGTTGTGGTTAAAATTATTTATCAATATAGCCCTCTAAAAGTAATTAACTCAAGGACTAGGAAAAAAACTTTAATTATTAGTGAGATGTTTTAAAAATCACTCAAATTTTAAAATTTCTCTCACTTTCTCAATTTTTTTCTTTCATGAATTCTATAAAAATTTTTCAAAATTACTGTAAAATCTACTGACCATTTAATTTCATAAAGATCTATCCAGGGACTAGAAAATACTTTTAAATGGTTGAGAGTATGTATTTTTTTCTTTTATGCAATACATAGCTTAAATTTATGTGACAGCAAATTTTTTTTAAATTGGGGAAATATTGATTGCTATATGTTAATTGGCAGCATAAAGGAATATATTTTCTTTCTATAAATATTAACTCGTTAAAGAAGTAACACAAGGGTAAAACCAGAGCCAAGATTCTGAATCACAGACTCATATAAAGGAATTAAGAATATAGAAAAGAAGGTATTTGAAATCAATAAATGATATCAGGATAATTTGATATTCATGTGGGAATGTAGTTAACATCTCAAATATTTGGACAGGTTCACAGGAACTCACAGGCCCATTCAAATGCCATAATATCCAATGTGCCCATAAACCATGGGCCATCTTTGTCTTCACAAAACAAATACTCTGGCCCTCATCACTGACCAATCAAAGGAAGGCTTCGTAACCTGTCGACTAACCAGGGACCCACACAGGAGCTGATCCTGCACGGATCCACCCACTATGTAATCTGTAAAATTCACTGCTTTTAATCCCTTGGGGAGTCAGGCAATTGAGCAATAGCTGCCTGACTCCTTGCTCTTTGAATTGCAAATAAACTCCTACTTCTACAAACTCATTTCAATAATTGAGTTGGTGTGGCCTGGTGATCAGACCAAGTTTGGCTCCAATTTGTATTTCTTTGATCGAAACAAGGTAGCTTTTTTTTCATGTACTTATTAGACATTTGTATTATGCTTGTCCTTTGAATTAATTTGCTTGGTTCAGTTATTTTCTTGTTTTAAGACCTGTATGTATATTAGTCATTTGCTATGTAGGTTGTAGATGTTGTCTCCTAGTCTATCATTAATATTTTGTTTATAGCATTTTTTGTCAAGCAGGAGTTTTCTATTTTACATAGCCATATTTGTCATTTTTTTCTTTTAAAACTTTTAGACTTTGTGTTTTATTTGGGGAAGGCCTTGTCTATTATAAATAGCACTCCCTTGTTTTCTTTTAATAGATTTTTAGATTAAAAATATTTCATTCTTAATCAGTTTGGAGTTTTGAATATATATGTATATATATATTTATATATGAAGTTACATATGCATGTACATGCATGTTTATATAAAATGTCTGTATAACTTTTTTCCGACACAAATATCAAATTTTTTGAAGTGTATTTTTTCATTATTGATCAAATTTTTTTTCTAAAGATTTACTCACTTATTTGAAAGGCAGAGTTACAGAGAGGCAGAGGCAGCGAAAGAGAGAAAGGTCTTCTATCTGCTTGTTCACTCCCCAGATGGCCACAACAGCCAGAGCCGTGCCGATCCACAGCCAGGAGCCAGGAGCTTCCTCCGGGTCTCCCACGTGGGTTCAGGGGCCCAAGGACTTGGGCCATCTTCCACTGCTTTCCCAGGCATAGCAGAGAGCTGGATAGGAAGTGGGGCAGCTGGGACCTGAACTGGCACTCATATGGGATGCTGGCACCGCAGGCGGTGCCTTTGCCTGCTACGCCACAGCACCGGCCCCCTCGAATGCTTCATTATATTTTTAATTCCAAAATACGAATAGCTTTGTTTTGTATTTTATATCATTCTGTTGGTTTGTTAATACAATGTTGCCATGTTATTTTGATTTCTGGTAATGAACATTCTTCCTCAGTTCTCTTTTTCCAAAAATTTTTTAGCTAATCCTAAGCATTTATTTACTTTTCCAGAAGAACTATAATCTATTAAAGCTTTATCTTAATGCTTTTTTTTATATGTAATTTTTTTATATGTAATTTTTTTTATATGTAATTTATTTTTTTTTATATGTAATTTATTCATTCAGTAATCTGTCTTTTCTTTCCTTACATTTCAGAGTCCTATATGTGGAAACTCACAGGAGACAGTTCAATCTAGAAGGGTAGTAATTTCTCATAACATGGATAAAGCTCTGAAAGAAGGTAAGGATGAATGAGAATGTACAGTTAAATGTGCAGCAACTCCTTGTGCTCTAAAAGGAAAATAGCTGTCTCTAGCAAATTTAATAGTCCTCTTTTCTGCATATGCCTTTAGGAATTTATTTCTAAATGAGTTTGTGTTTGATGACTGAATAGATACATCAGTGTTTAATGAAAGGAATGTAAACATTTACTGGGTAGGAATTTTCAGATCACATGAAGCTGGCCAGTCATGTGGAGTTAGCCCCACCATATGATGCATGAATATACTCTGTGTTCCCTAAAATCAACATCAGGAAATAAGTACTTTTCTTTCTTTTTAAAGATTTCATTTATTTATTTGAGAGGTAGAGTTACAGAGGGAGAGACACAGAGAAAGGCCCTTCCATTGGTTCATCCCCCAAATGGTCAGCTGCACTGATCCGAAGCCAGGAGGCGGGTGCTTCTTTCAGGTCTCCCATGTGGGTGCAGGGACCCAAGCATGTAGGCCATCTTCTACTGCTTTCCCAGGCCACAGCAGAGAGCTGGATTGGAAGAGGAGCAGCTGGAACTAGAACTGGCGCCCACATGGGATGCTGGTGCTGCAGGGAGAGAACTAACTTTCTGCGCATGGCACTGGACCCAGGAAATACTTTTTTTTTTTTTTTTTGACAGGCAGAGTGGGTAGTGAGAGAGAGAGAGACAAAGAGAAAGGTCGTCCTTTTGCCGTTGGTTCACCCTCCAATAGCCACCACAGCCGGCGCACACGCTGATCCGAAGCCAGGAGCCAGGTGCTTCTCCTGGTCTCCCATGGGGTGCAGGGCCCAAGCACTTGGGCCATCCTCCACTGCACTCCTGGGCCACAGCAGAGAGCTGGACTGGAAGAGGAGCAACCGGGACAGAATCTGGCGCTGCGACCGGGACTAGAACCGGGTGTGCCGGCGCCGCAGGCGGAGGATTAGCCTAGTGAGCTTCGGCACCGGCTTAGGAAATACTTTTCTTACAGGGATAATAACCTGGGGAAGATGTATTGAGGAAAAGCTAGTCAGCTTTTCACTATTATAACAGAATACCCAAAGCAAGTTATTTATGAAGAGAAAATGTTTTTTACCACCAGCTTTGGAGGGTCAAGGGGCATGGCTCTTGCATTGGCTCATCACATCATGGTGGATGGCAGCAGCTGAGGATTGAGCTCATTCTGTTTGAGAGCACATAATCATCACCAGACAGGAAGCAAGAGAGAGCTGGGTGGGTCCATCCTCAGGCTTTCATAACAGCTCTCTCCTGAGAACTAACAAGGATCTCAGGAGAAATACCTTAATCCTTTCTGAGGGCATACCTCCAATGAACTAAGGACCCACTCCACACCCTGACTTGTATCCCCCAGACTAGGTCCTGGGGACCTAGTTCCTTCAGCTCCGTCCATCAGCTCTTAAATGTTCGATCAGCTCCATCCTTGTCATATTAGGGAACAAACTCCCAAAACCTGGGCCTTTGAGGGACAAATGGTATCCAAGCCACAGCAGGGATGAATGGACTCAGGCTTACTTATGGACAAGCAAATTAATTATTGCAATCAGCTTTACAGAGAATTAAGACACATATGTGAAGCTTGTATTAAAGGAGACTAAAAGGGGGTATTATGGAAGATACAATATGATTGTATAGCTAGAAGTGGGAATAAGTAAATTATTTATAAATATTGAAGTTTAGAAAGGTTATATATAATATATATATATATATATATATATATATATTTGACAGGCAGAGTGGACAGTGAGAGAGAGACAGAGAGAAAGGTCTTCCTTTGCCTTTGGTTCACCCTCCAATGGCCGCCACAGCCAGCACACTGCGGCCGGCGCACCGCGCTGATCCGATGGCAGGAGCCAGGTACTTCTCCTGGTCTCCCATGGGGTGCAGGCCCAAGTACTTGGGCCATCCTCCACTGCACTCCCTGGCCACAGCAGAGAGCTGGCCTGGAAGAGGTGCAACCGGGACAGAATCCGGCGCCCCGACCGGGACTAGAACCCGGTGTGCCGGCGCCGCAAGGCAGAGGATTAGCCTAGTGATCTACGGCACCGGCTTAGAAAGGTTATATTTTTGAAGATCAGATTAAGGTTTAAAAAGATTTTTAAAATCAAATATCTAAAAACATCGATAACTTCAAATATTCTGCAGGAAAAAAAAGTGATTATTTCAGGTGAATGTATATAGTGTTAAATGTGAAGTTAAAAGAGAACTAAGCAAATGATGCCTACAAAAACAAGTCTTTTACTTGCTGAATTTCACAGAAGTCACCATATTAAAACATGAAGATGAGTACCATTTAAGTGCAGAAACAATTCAATTGTGTGGATTTGTAGATTTTTAGGAGCTATAAAAAGACCTTAAGAATATTTGTTGTATTAGTGGCTAAACTCCAGTGACTAATAGCACTTAACTGGATTTAAAGTTCGACTTATTCACAATTTGAAAATTGTGGTTTTAAAAATTACTGATTTTTCATTGCTTTGATTGAAATGAATTTTACATACTTTGAAGTCCACAAATTTTAAGTTCATTATTGAGCAATTTTTATAAATGCTTATAATCAGGTAACTATAAGCCCAATCAAAATAAGAACACTTCTGGAATGGGCATTGTGGTACAAGAGGTTAAGCTGCTACTTGGGATGCCCACATCTCATGTCGGTGAACCAGGTTCGTGTCACTGCGTTTCTGTATTTCTGATCCAACTTCCTGCTGATGTGTCGTGGAGGCAGTTGATGATGGCCTAAGCACTTGGGTTCCTACCACACGTGTGAGAGACTCAGCTGAAGCTCCAGATTCCTGGCTTCTGTCTCGCTTTAGCTTTGGCTGTTGTGGGCATTTTGGAAGTGAACCAGCAGATGGAAGCATGTTTTATCTCTGTCTCTGTCTTTCCCTCTTTTTGTCATTTCAAATAATAAATAAATTTAAAAAATTAAGAATACTTCTCTTACCCCAGAAAATCTGTCTCATGCTGTGGTTTGATCAATACCCACCTTCTAGGACAGGTGTTTGGCCTACCAGTTAAGATGCCGGTTAGTGTGCCTGTGTCTCACATAGGAAAGCTCTGGCTCCTACTTCCAGCTTCTTCTTAATGCACACCCTGGGAGGCTGCAAGTGATGGCTCAAATGGCTGTGTCCCTGCCACCCATGTTGGAGACCTAGATTGAGTTCCTGGCTTCCAACTTTGACCTGGCACAGCCCCACTGTTGTGGGCACTTGAGGAGTGAACAGATGGGTGCTATCTGCCTGTCCATTTCTCTGTCTCTCAAATAAATAATTAAAAAAAAAAAAAACAACATACTCTTTATTGTTTGCATTCTGTAACTAGAAATTAGTTTTCCTATGCTGAAACTTCACACAAGTGGAATCATACAGTGAACACTCTTTGCCAGGCTTCTTTCACTCAGAATAATGTTTTTGAGATTATCTACATTGTGTGTGTGTCAGTTTGTCCATTTTTATTGCTGAGTAATATTCCATTATACTGATATGACTATGTCATTATTTTTTTATCCTTTATCCTATTACACACTTGGATTATTTCTAATTTTTGGGAACTCATTAAATAATTGCTATAAACAAGTGTTTCTGTAAACATATGCTTTCATGTCTTTTAAATGAATACCTAGCTGTAGAATTGGTGAATCATAGGAAAGTTGTATGTTTAAATTTATAATGTTCCAAAGGGATTGTTTTTTTCTTAAATATTTATTTTTTTATTTGAATGAGATAGAGAGGTAGAGACAGAGAGAGAGGTCTTCCATCCGCTGGTTCACTCTCCGGATGGCCACAATGGCCGGAGCTGCACCGATCTGAAGCCAGGCCATAGCAGAGAGCTGGATCGGAAGAGCAGCAGCCAGGATTAGAACCGGCGCCCACATGGGATGCCGGCGCTTCAGGCCAGGCTTTAACCCGATGCGACATAGCACCGCCTTCTGGGGATTGTTTCTTTAGACAACTACCAGCAGTGTTTGAGGGTTTTAGTTGTTTCATCATTATTGCCAGAATTCACTGTTGTCACTCTCTGTTTTAACTATTGGATGGGCATGAAATAGTATTTTGTTGTGGCCTTAAATTATGTATCCCTGTTGACTGTGATATTAAACACTTCCTCATGTGTTGACCATTTTCATATCTTTATTTGTGGTGTGTCTATTCAAGTCTTTCTTTTTTAAACTTATAATTTAATTTTCATTATAAAATGTATATTCTGGATTCATGTCTTCTGCTAGATACAGGTATAATGAAAATACTCTGAATTGCCTTTTATTTTCATAATGATGTCTTTGACTAGAAGTTTTTAATTTTCATTGTATCTAATTTACCAGTTCTTTTTTTCTGTCTGTTCTTTATATTGGTTAATTTTTATTCTTCCATCTTCAGTTTCTGATCTTTTTTAAGTCTAGAAATTCTATTTTTTCTTTCTTTCTTTTCTTTTTTTTTTTTTTTTTTTTTTTTGACAGGCAGACTTAGAGAGAGAGAGACAGAGAGAAAGGTCTTCCTTTTCGTTGGTTCACCCCCCCCAAATGGCCACTACGGCCTGCGCGTGCGCCAATCCGAAGCCAGGAACCAGGTGCTTCCTCCTGGTTTCCCATGCAGGTGCAGGGCCTAAGCACTTGAGCCATCCTCCACTGCCTTCCCTGGCCACAGCAAAGAGCTGGACTGGAAGAGGAGCAACCGGGACAGGATCTGATGCTCCAACCGGAACTAGAACCGGAGTACTGGCGCCGCAGGCAGAGGATTAGCCTGGTGAGCCGCAGCGCCGGCCTTGTCTTTTTTTTCTCTTGCAGTTTTTGTTTCTGCTGAGATCACCCATCTGTCACTATGACCATTTTTAAAAATCTTTAATTCCTTGAACCCAATTATAATAGCTGTTTTAAAGTCCTTGTATGCTAGTTCTAAGATATACATAATCTTGGGGTTGGTTTCTATAGATTTCTTTTTCTCTGGGCTATGTGTCATATTTTGGGGGGTTTCTTTTTATGTATAGTGTTA